ATACACACACACACACACACACACAAACACACACACACACACACACACACACACGAGTAGGACTACCCAAAATGTAAAATGTTTGACAACAATACATAATTATTATTATCTTAAACAGAAATGCAGAAATGACGACAACGACAATAACAAATCCAACAACACTATCAATAAGAACTCTTGAATTTGAACAAACGCTCAAAGTACATTACATTCCGATACAAAATAACAATATTATTATCTCATGAAATCTTCTTGTACTCTGTCCTTGCAGGCTACATCGGGTATACAACCCTTGTGCTACGAGGCGGGAGCGGAGGTTCGGACGTCCAATCACGATCCAGACTTTATACCACGTGCCTGTTGTCCCGGGTCAGAGTTCAAAGTGCTGATCAACCAATGGTTCGCTGCCACTGTCGTAAAATGCGTGAAGAAGGAAAAGGAGAAAAGTTGATACCGGCTGTGTGTGTTGTGAGCGTGATTCTGTCTGAGGGAGATATTTGCCTGTCGTGAGTGTGGGAGAGAGCACGACCCGGCCTTGGGGGCAGGCGGTGCCTCAGTCCGGGGAAAAAATAATGTCTTCACACCATATCATTGTTATCTTTTCCGGACTCTCTGAGAGGTGATCCAAGAGAGAATCTGGTGCTGAAACAGCGGGTTTGACAGGAGGCTGTCTAGAGCACGATCCGCGCCTCACATAACTGAAGGTTCTCATACACAATGGAAAGCTTCATTAGGTCGTGTTCACATACAGTGTATAAAGGGTTCCATGGCAAAACACACTTTATCCATTTACTTCAAAACTGAGAAAATGGAGACAAAAAAATCAACCTACAGTATCTAAAAACAAAAACATGAACGAAACATTGATTTATTATTACAAATATCGAGGGAAGCAGTGTATTTTGAGAAATGAAGATAATTCTCAGGACAAATAAATTATTATCGCATAACATTATTGAGTGTTTAGGGTTTTTTTTTCTCCAGAAGTTCCCTGGCTTCGTGTAGGCCTTTTGTGCGTTTTGTAATGAAACCTTCTATATTCACTGCATTGAGTAAGTCATTTCAGTTACTAGACCTCCTTCTGAGCTTTTGTACGACCCCTTTCTGTCCTGAACAAACGAACAAACAATTGGATATCAAGCCCACTAGGCCAGGTATTTGCACCACTGACGTTCACTAGCCGTCATGGAGTTATCTTTCTTCATTTTCCCTCTTCTCGTTTTTGTTTCTCAACAAAAAGGCCGCTCCCTGGGGACGTTTCCCCTGATTTCAGCTTTCGACATACAAAGAATGACGTTGAGGATTCTACTGTAGAGGTAGCCTAACCGAGCGGCCATGACTTTGTAGCTTTTAGAGTGGACACAAACTAGGACTCTTAGTGGAGAACATATTATATCTTTCCAAGATATATCGAGTATTTCCTGAAGGCTGCGCTTGTGAAAAGTGGACAATGTCATGGTCTTGGCTGTGTTGTGAAAAACCTTATCGTTTGGATGATTCTTTTAATATATTCTGTGGTGTGACACCGCCACACAGACACAATGACAAGCTCATGAAAGAGAAGGAATTTGGAGCAGCGTCAACACTATGGAGAACCAATGCTCGTAGAGCTTTTTTTTTCCTTCTATTTTGTCCTGGTGCCCAAAGGATTCACTGACCACAAGTTGGCTTTCGAGCTCGCTGTGTGTACTGTGTGCGGTACTTAAACTCAATTTGATTCTTCAATGAAGAGCTTGCTTGATTAAGTGACTCATAGTTAAGGAATTTACTTTCAATGGACACTAAATTCACTCTTGAAAGTGAGAGTTTTGGTGATCCCGATGATTATAATTCCATCTGTGTGCCTTTGAAGTCCAGATGAAAATCCAACATCTTCGTCCAGAATAAGAAGACGGGATGCACGTTTGAATGGAAGAAAGAGGAATTTTTTTCTTTAAAAGTGCTAAAGAGACAAAAAAGAAAAGTCGGGGAAGTGGGGGTGGGGATGGGGAGGAGTTTGTATGAAAGGGAAGAAGGGGTTGGGCGAGAGAGACAAAAAGAAAAGATGAGAGTAAAGAGACTGAGGCAGAGAGAGAGAGAGAGAGAGAGAGAGAGAGAGAGAGAGAGAGAGAGAGAGAGAGAGAGAGAGAGAGAGAGAGAGAGAGAGAGAGAGAATACTTAATATTGTCGAAA